CTTGTATCAAGGAAGAATAAACTGGTTTAATCATGAAAGAAGATCCTCCAAAAGATTTTCTACCAGCAACAAACAAACAAGCAGATACGTAACCATTAGTTACTGTCATTTATAACGTAGGCATACAGCAAATTTGCGGCAGTGTACAAGTGTTCAAACATTATAGAAACGTTAAAGGAGGAAGTAAGGTAATGTATTGTTACGACAGCGGAAGTCATGTGACGCTAGTAACACGTCATGAGCTTCTAGAAAATTTATGTCCCTTCGTGAAGCCTCGAGTGTTTACTAGATGTGCGGTATTCTTGTATATAAGACCGCCAAGAAGTGACGACAACAATGGAATTGAATTGCAGACAGAGATAAAAACGACAATTGAGTCAAGCGCGTGAATCGTTCGTTCGTTGTGAATTATAGCGTTTGTTTAAGTTATAGCGTGACTGTGGAAATTAAGTGTATTGCAAAGTTGTATTGACAAAGAATAAACTAGTTTTATATCAGAAAGGACTTGTATCGCTAAAGTTTCTTCGGAAATAATTTTTACGGAAAATTAACAAACGAACAGAGACGTAACAGTATTATTGTTTTGTGGACTGGATATTGAATTATGTTCATCAGAGTATTTTAAAGGTTGTTTGTTTTAAGCACAAAGCTACACAAATGGATGTCTGTGCTTTACCCACCACAGGTATCGAAACCCTGTTTCTAGCGGTATAAGTTCGCAGACATACAGCTGTGCCATTGGGGAGTTATTCTAAAGGATCCCCCACTAATGAGAGAGCTACATTACTGCTACAGTACCTTCCAAATATAATTGATGAAACAATTTAAATAGATGGTATCAGCTAAAAATTAATTAGCTTCTGGCAAATTAAGTAAAAATACTGTAACGCCTCCAGTCGTTAGTTAATTTTCCCTAAATTCGTTCCGACGAAACTTTAGCGACACAAGTCCTTTATTAAATAAAACTGGTTTAATCTTTCCAAATACAACTTTACGATACACTTAATTTCAACAGTCGCTCTATAACAAACACTATAATTCACGTCTCACGTGGCCAACAAGATTTTGTCCGCATACATTGAATTACTCATTACACTGTTGTTCCGTCACGTTGTGAACGTCTTATATATATATTGTTACGTC